CATCGCCGGCGATCAATCTCACGTATCCCGACGTGTAATATACACGCGTAAGCTCAAACATTTTTTAATGCACGCACTAGAAAACGGTATATATTGTGGCCGAGCGTTCTTATTATTATTATTTAGTGACAACGGCGACGTTTTATTTTTACGGTGACGATTATTAATCTTCGTACGCGTCATTATAATCTCGGTACGGTCGAATTGTAAACGCGTCTGTATTGTATAGACGCGATGGCAGCCATCCGGGTCCCCCGCCCGGCGCGCACAACGGGCATCTGCCGCCGTCCGTCCGTCCGTCGCCGTGTAATGGATTCGTAAATGACGCGTACCGCCCCTCGGCTACAAGTACACCACGATCGCGCTCGCACACTCTAACGCGCTGTCCCGGGTACACACATACACGCGCGCACGCATGCAGCGCCGGATAGACAGAGCCGGGCGATTGTAATTATTTTCTTGGCTCGCCCGTCCGTCCGTCCGTCCGCCCATCCCGTGGCCATGCATTGGATGCGCGCCTACACATTTATTTATACGCTCGCGTGAAACGTGAAAATGGACAATAAAAATAAAAAGCGATCCGCGACGCACTGCAGCCAAACTGAAAACAGCATTGTAGTCGCTGTAATATGGTGTATTGAGAACACCGCTCGGGACCAATGCGGTCGTACCAGACCGCGGTTGTGAGAAAAAATTTATGTGTTTACCGGTATGCGAGCGGGAGAAGGGCGAACGGGGTCGCAACGCTCCGTTTGCTTTAATTAAGTAAATAATCGTTCCGTTAAGAACACAATTTAATAACACTATGCAGTGTTCATTTCGTTTTGTTCAAGATACTAAAAAAATTCTAACACTCGAATATACTATCGGATATAGGCGTGTCACATAGATTATTTTCCCCTGCAAATAGTTATTGTACACCATGAGTATATTTTTACCGCTTATTTGGCAAAACATCGTAAATGAATTTTCCTGCGAATCTGTGTAGATTTCGTTTTCGATAAAACTAGATCTTAGTGCTTATGTTTAACTACTGTTAAGAGCAAAACATATTAAAAATGATTGTTTATACATTTCATACAAAAATTATCTGAATTATTTAAAAAAAGGAATGGATCAAAACGGTATTAATATAATATATTTAAAACCTATAAATTACTGTTACTTTTTTTCTCGAGAAAACGCTGACTGAATCCATTTTACTATTGTTTGTGCATTATGAAAAATTAAAAACTACCAAACTACACGTACCAACGATACTAGCTTGTACATGTAGCATGTGTATAAATTTTAACTGCGCTCAAAAAAAATGTTGAATGGGGTTAACCAAAAACTACGTGCGTTAGAACGTAATCGCTATTGTATAATTCCAAGTGTAAAAACAGTATATCAATCATAAATTAAACGTTCCGTCTGATCTTTGAAGTAGTTAATTTTTTTGTTCGTGCCGTACGACAAACAGGTGTATAAACGATAAATAAATGGGTAGTTTATAATTGTATTGATGTTTATTAGTAACTTCGACTACCCCGTACGTACGATTCTATAATTACACTGGTGTTTTTCAGAGACATGACGAATGCGTACGTTCGTACACACGCGTTCGTACACGCACGCACACATACGTTTACGTACGATAATTATTTATTTTTTATGCGTACGATGTATACGTGCAATACGTATAATGATATACGTGCGAATATTCGCGTGCCTCAAAAGTCATAACACGCCGAACAACAATCGTTTAAATTATACGCAATGCACCGATTCGACGTACGGCCGCGCGATTTTTTTTAACGAGAAATATGAGCTGCCGCGTGGTAACCCGACTCTCGCAGGACGGTCGCGGTAGACTAAACAATATTAAAAAAAAAAAAAAAAACGCGCCCGCCGTTTACGCACTAAAACGATATCAAGCGTGTTAAACAGTACACTACACGCGGCGGGTACTGTACCTACTGCCCACGAGTAGATACATTACGTATAGGTAATCCGCGTGATATTCCTGACCGCGTTCGGGTACGGTTAAAGATCGTGTGCGATACAATGCTGTATAATACTAGCTGGTCATATTGTATTATGATTATGTACGTGTACGGTTGTGGTTGAAACGGATACTGTTTTGATCCCGGTACATTAAACACTCACCGATTCATCTCGTTGGTCTTACATTATTAATACGATTGTAAACAATACCGCGGTAAATCAATGAACAAACCCCTAATGGATTACGTAAATCCTTGCTGGGCTCTAAATTAATTCAGTTTACGTTCGATAAATTATTAATGATATTACGCTAATTTATATTGTATTGTTATATCATTAATATTTGTATAAATTAAAACATAGTTGTCTTAATGTTAAAAATATGCAACCCCATATTTCTTGAGATTCGTAAAATTGTACTTCAATACTTTTCGACAAATAATGATTGTTATATTATAGGACATTTTATCAAAACCTTATCTGGTTTTTAATGGTTTTGGTTCTTTTTTTAACAATTTTAAACATTAATCAAGTTATATGCTGTAACATTGACTAAGCATTATATTTAGGTAATAACACCAATCTAACCACAAACTTATGTTATGAGTGGATCATTTATCCACATAAAATAGGACTAAATATACTAACATTTGGACATTCATTACATTTAACACTTAACTAGTTTTATTTATAAGCAGCTTCAATTTTGATTGGTAGTAATTTATTAACAGCAATTAACCTTTTTCGGTTGTATTATTATTCGTATATATTCGTTTTAGAATTTTACTTATATAAATTTGTCTGTGAAAACAACTTAATATAATTTCACTAGTTTAGTTTTAGCTTCATAGTTCCTTATGAATGGTGATCCATATTTATAAATATAAACATGGATGAAAAGTAAACGTTTTAGTATTATATTATAACTAATTATTTATAATTAAAAAATATATTACAAAAAAGTATAATAGCAGAGCCAGTGGCGTAGCTAGGATTTTCTGAAGGGGAGTGTTAATTATAATTATTAAATATTATATATAATTCGTACGAACTAAAACTTTTATTTTAATTAATTAATATGTATATATAATGTCTGTAATGGAGATGTAATGTATATTCGAATTCGGATAGCTTTACCATAAATTATTCGAATATTTGACTATTTGAATATCAGTATTCGATGCTACAATACCTATTATTATTAAACGTTTTGTGTTGCACAAAAACGTAAACGAATAATTTTCGTCACGTATTGTCGCAATCGCGATAGTGTTAACCTATATATATATATGTAATTAGTATTATGCATTATTTTATATTTCATATTGTATTATCGATTTACCTATATTCCTATAATAATGTAATATATGATACGACTCAAGGGAGGTGTCATATCTACCAAACACCCCCCTTGTATACGCCACTGAGCAGAGCCAGAAATACAATTAATTTAAATATTACTACAGTAGAACATCGATTATCTGAACCTCCGTTATATAAACTCACTATTATCCGAACTCCATTTGACATATTCGAACTTCAAAACGAGTTGAAACAATCGCTCACGAGCGGCCGGTTTACCGATATGTATTATCATTATCTTAATTTATTATGAACTCCTTAAAAGTTTGTGAGATTTAAATGCTAGCTTGTTTAGCAGCTGAAAAACACGTCGCAGCTTTTCGTCAACTGAAAATAGATCATTTTGCTATGTAATAATAATAAACATATGTTCCTCTGTATTTTAAAATAATGTAATTCTACCGTTATAATAATAATAATAATAATAATATTTAAGTGTTTGTATATAATAACAATATAATAAAACTTGTATATATGTTTAAAAAATAAAATAATTTTTTTCTAGCATCCAAACTAAGTGAGGTCCTAATTTACTACGTTTATATGATAGCGTTAAAACGGTTTGAAATTAAACCGTTTTGAAATTAAGACCCATTAACATCATGTAAACACTTAAAAACAGTTTAAAAAATGTAAACCGTTTTAAAAGTTAAAACGCTCGCGCTATGTAGTTTAAGAATTAAAAACCGTTTTATATGCTCAAACCGGATTATTAAATGTACATATAAACGCGGGATATGTTTTGCATTAATACGTTTATCACAATTATTGTGATTCATGTTATCAGTTATCACTTATCAGATTTTGTTTTTATATATTTATTATTTAATTATATTAATTTTTGTATATTATTATTTGTATAACTTAATAATAATTTAATAAGAACACAATAAATGCAAAATTATAAATTTATTATGAAAATATATTATGAATCAATATATTACTTATCAGATATCCTCCTGGAACAAACGACCTAAGTCATGAAGTAAAAATATTAATTTTAAAACGGTTTATAAAATATTAGCTAAACCGATTTAGTATATATTTGTATATAAACATCTAAAATTGGTTTAAGCTAAACTGTTTTAAATAATTTTAAAACGGTTAAATTTTAAACTGTTGTAACGCTATCATATAAACGTAGTAATTGATTTAAGTAATTCTACTGTACATCTTAATTCCTCTCATAAACACTTTGTTACTAACACGAGACGATTTAAAATTGTATATAATTATTAAAGACACATAAAAATTAGTTATGGAGTAGCTAAAAAATTTGAATTAAAAAAATAATTATTCAGATTACTTAACAATACGAGTCACTACTTCAAAAATTCGTAAAATGTCAAAAAATAAAATATTCATATGAACACAAACTTAAGTAAAAACAAAAATGTTAAAAATATAAATTATTCAAATATATATAAACTGACCGATTCATCAAGTATAGTTTTATTTAAATTGAATAGAAACATTTGCTTTTTTTAGAATTCTTTTTATACATACCATAATGATATCCTAGTACGAGTATTTGTATCCTATTTTGATTGTAAAATATTCTATTTGAATATACGCATATAATAAAAAAATTGAGTGTGGTGTTTATACATTAATTATAGCAACTATATTAATGAACGTGTCTTCACTTGCAGGATTACAACATCGACACAACCAAATGTTATTGGAACCACAGCATGGTGGGGGTGGCAGTAGTGGTGGCGGGGACGAAGGTAATGGGGAGCGGCAGCAACAAATGCTCCTGTTACATCAGCACCACCTAAATCAGCAACAAAACCAACATCAGCAGGAGCACCAGCAACAATTGCTACAACAGCAACAACATCAACAGCACGACAGCCACCTCAACCAACAGCATCGGATGCACCACCAGCAGCAGCACGACCAAGTGCAATCTCATCAACACCAACAGCAGCAACACCACGAGCACCAGATGCATGAGCTGCACCACCATAGTTTACAGCAGCACCAGCAGAACTTGCAACAGCACCAACAGAGCTTGCAGCAGCAACAGCAGCAGTACGGTGAGGTAAACCAACTGGGCGGCGTGTTCGTCAACGGCCGACCGCTGCCCAACGCGGTGCGCGTGCGCATTGTCGAATTGGCCCGTGTGGGCATACGGCCGTGTGACATTAGCCGGCAGCTGCGTGTCTCGCACGGCTGCGTGTCCAAAATACTAGCCCGGTATCATGAAACAGGCAGTGTAATGCCCGGCGCTATAGGAGGTAGCAAACCTCGGGTGACCACGCCGAGAGTGGTGGCGTATATTGGTCGACTGAAGCGTAAGGACCCGGGGGTGTTCGCTTGGGAAATCCGTGACCGACTACTAGCCGACGGGGTGTGCGACAAGTTCAACGTGCCTAGCGTGTCCAGCATCAGCAGGATCTTGCGGAACAAGATCGGAACTACCGGTGGTGGGGGCCCTACACAAACAACGACACCGCAGCAGAACACAGTCGCTGCCGCGGCCGCCGCCGCTGCTGCTGTCGCCGCTGGTGGTGGTGGTGGTGGTGGTCTGTCACCAACGACCGCAGCACATCATATGTACAGCCCATACCACCATCATCATCATCATCACTCATCCTCGTCGCCACCGTCTGTCACGGCAGGCTATCAACTACACCAACATGGCCAATATCATCACCAGCACTCTCAACATCACCAACTGTACCATAATCATCATTACCAACAGCACCAACACCATCACCTCTGTTCATCGCCACCGTCTGGCTTAACTACCGTAGCCGGTAGCCCCGTGTGTTGTTCATCACCACCGACTGCCATGTCGAGAGTCGGTTCCGTTCCCCATTCGTCCACGCCACCACCACCGCCCCTGACGGTACCATCGCTCCAGCCGCCACCACCACCACAACACTGTTGGCCTAGCCCACACGCTGTCACGGACATATTGGCGGCGGCCGCCGCAGCTCAGCAACAGCACCAACACCACCATCAACACTTACACCCATCGCACTCACACCACTTACACCCATCCCAACACCCGGCCAACAGTCATTACGGCGTGGGTAGCGTCACTGGTGGAAGCATCGGTGGTGGTGGTGGAGGAGGTGGTGTTAGCGGCGGCAGTGGTGGCAGCGGTGACACTTCGGCGGCCACTGCGGCTGCCGCTGCCGCCGCTGCTGCGGCCGCGGCAGCCGCAGCGGCCAACTACGACACTTCATCCGGTGGTAGCGCTGCGGCTGCAGCTGCAGCCGCGGCATACAATACTTACTGCAGCAGTTATTACCATCACGCCATGGTTTACGCGGCCACTGCAGCAGGCAGTATAGCGGCAGCGGGTCGTCATCAACCACATCATCTGAACCCATCGCCACCATGCACGGCCGCTGCCGTGTGGCCAGGCGTACCTCCGCCATTGCCACAGCCACCCCCACCACCCCCACCGTCACCGACGGTGTCACTTCCAGCCGCGGCCGCAGCCACCACGTAACGAATCGCGTAGGTCGGTTTTCACGTGAAAATATTAACATTGTTATCGGCGATGGAAGAATTGGAGCTCGAAACGCGATGACGTAATAATGTTGAAATGAAAATGCACTCTTCCGATTCATATGGATGAGCTCGTAATGATTCGTAAACAGTATACTTAAATCGAGAACTCAAGCATCTGAACGCAAACTAATCGTTCGTGAACCAAGTGTTCAATCACTTACGATAAACCTGAAATCGCGTTCTAGTGACTTTTTTAGTGACCTGGAAATGCATTCGATGACCAAATACTGCAGTCCGTTTCCCCGCTACGGAAAGATAACGAGATCCCGTTGTGCTACGTGGCAGTATAAATAAGTAATCATCTCGTATTTTATCGGTCAGCGGCGGATGATCAAATGGTTTTGCCCGTGATCCAGTACCACATTTTTATCTGATCTTTATCTCGCCAACCGAGTATAATGTGCACGAAGACAGTGAATATACGACGTAAAATAAGCTGTACTAACTGTTTTAATATTCCCAATATTTTCTTTTACTTTTTTTTTTTTTAATATAATTATTTATCTCTAAACTATATCAAATGTATAAAATAAAGTTAAGAATATTTATTATTGAATTTTGTTTTAATAAATATAAACGCACAATATAATCAATAAATACCTATACAGACAATAACTATATGAGGATTGGAATGTAGTGCGAATGCGTATAGTGAGTTGAGTAAATTACTTACAAGTCAATTACTATCAATGTGCTTGGTAAGTTATTGTTGTCGAACGTATTTTAAATAAGTCATTACAGAATTATCTTTTTCGACTTTGATTCAATTGTTAAGACGTGAAGGATGATAATAATTTAAAATTTCATTATAATAGTAACTGTAAAATATTATTGCTTCTTTGTTGACAGGCTTTTTAAATACTGATAAAATAAACACAAATACAATTGTATTATGAACTAAAATATCAGAAATGTGCTTTACTACTTTACATTCTAATCACTTTAATAACTTTTCGAAATTGTAAATCTAAAATATATCTATTATAGAAATTATAATGCATTATGTATGTATTATAACTTAAGAAAATTCTTTGCGTAACAGCGTGTATACAAGGCTTACAACAAGTGGACTTAAAAACGTATCTATGAATAGTATGTCAGCATGCAGTTACGACCCTGGCCAACTAGGCCATAATGTAGTCTAACTCGCGAGTTAAAATCTATAAAAAAATTACTCGAAGTTTACATTGACTTTCACCATTTACCATTTATAGTATTAAAACATAATGGATTAAGGACTTATTGGATTAATAGACTTACATAACCTAACACTAGGGTCTCTATTAGGATGTTTGAAAATTTGCTGAATCAAATCGTTGTATAAGTATAATGTGTACAATTAAATATATTGATAATAAGATTAATGAATAGATTGAAAATAAAATTACATTTTTTTAAAATCGTTCTTTAGTACTTAATACTGGAGAGTCGAATATAACATGATTGAGTAAATTTGTTGGTACGTATATTGAAGGATATAGAAATACAAAAAAACCAACACAATTGAGCATAAAATACTCTGTGATGATGTCGATTTCAATTTTGAACAATATTATACAAAAAATATTTAATTAAATAATTATAATTTATAATAATTCAAAATATAGAACAAATTATGAAAATAAATCAGTTTCATAGGTCTGTTTTAAAAATTAAAAATTAAATAATAAAAAAAATTAATAATTCAAATAATTAAAAAATCATAACGGTTGAAATTTATAAAAAAAATTAATTAAATTGGAATACCTTGTTATTTGTTTCCAAGTTTATATAAATATAATAATAAATATTCTGTACTCTTAGGTTTTGAATATTGTTTATAAGTTTTTACATCAAATTCTAGTTTTTAACTTTTTTAGGGGATTCTACCTGTAATTGCGTACGTATATTTTCAATTGAAGAAATATTTGTCAACATTTCTGCTTGTGTTTCGAGATATACTCTTACAACTCCATAAACATGAGGGTGAGGTGAATAAGACTGCAAATTGTACGTGTGATGAAAGCTTTCAGCTGCATTGGTCGTTCTACAAAATTAAATAAAATAACAGAAATTAATATGAAAGTTTATTTTTAATATAAAATTTATACAAATACTATACAAATCTTGGGTTAAGCGAAGGAATGTTAGCCTAAATACTTGGCGGAAATTGGCAGTGCTTTCAATATAGTTGTGTAGAATGTAGTCAGAAAATATAAAACCATCTTCATGTGGACAAATTGATATTAATTCGTAAAATGCATAAACTATTTCTTCTTAGGGCATAAATGCCAAACTAAAAAACATTTTCAACCATTTCACTAGTTCTTTACTATTGTCTATATATATAAATATATACTATTCAGAAGGAAAATTTTTAAATTAATAATCGATAACGTTGCCGGTAAAGTTGGACCCGGCCCTCAACTCGTGGCTCGTTTAAGTTTAATATCTTTATAATTGGTGTAATAATACGTGAAAAATAGTATATAAATAATATAAGTTATAAAATTTCGGAAACGTGAATGTGGCAAACGTCGCATAAAATATTCTATGCTCAATCGTTTTTCACCGGGTAAGCCATACTTAACGAATTTCATAGCAAATAAGTCGATAGTTTAGCTAAAAACTATTTGTTGAATGCTTAATGAATCTTGAGAATACCTATTAATATGTACATGTACAAAATGTGGAAATATTCAGAAGCAGTTGAACTTGCTACTCGCACTCGTTTATCTACTAAACCATTGTTGACACCACTACTTTTGTAGTTTTGTCGGTACAATCATTTTAATATTAACGATTCAGCCATTAGATATGAGTCAAAAGTATGATAAAATTTAAATAAAAGTAAAATATGTGGAATGGATAAAAATATTCTAATCGAAGATAATAATACTAATAATACAATTATAAATATTAACTTGAGCATTGTAAGTGCTACAGTTAGTACAGGCCAAGCGTGTGGTTAACTAGAAAATAAAGAAAATTTGGATAAATTAAATGTCTAATTGGGTGGTCATTTTTGTATTTACTATTCTTGTGAGCCGGGCTAGATTAGTATGTTTGTATGCAACAGCATGTTTTTTTGGTGACTTCTGATTATTGATTTTGTTAGTAATGTCCACGAATCACCTCATGATAAGATAAATGATTGTGTTTTTATTTTGCATGTTTTTGCATATTTTGGATTGAATGCATATTATTGCATATATTGAATAAAATTAATATTATTAAAAGAATGCGGAAATTGAATGTTTTAGAGTATATTTCGTATTTAATTCTAGCCCTGTTGATTAAAGTATAAAACTTGATTTTTTTATCAAACAAATTTATTTTAAATTATTTTATTTTATTTCTCATTTGTATTATATTAAGACAAATAGCCAACCACTGATGTATTTTAATAAATCATTTTTTTTTTTTTTTTGTAACTATATTTTTGTGTTTGTCTTATAAAAATTTAAATGCAATTTTGATAAATAAAATGCATATTTTACTATTTTTATTGTATACAAATCCTAGTCCTGCTTATGAGTTAAAGGATATATTCGACTAACGACAATCACCCACGCTGGTCGTTTATTCGTTATCGTCAAACTGGTTTTGCCAATAGATTTTGATATGGAAAAAACTCCAGGAATAAAAATACTTGCGATAACATTAATTTTTTTTCACACAGATACAACCAATAAAACAAGATAAATAAAATGCCTATCCAATACTCCTTAAAATTTGGCGTGCTCCGGCTCCGAATGATCAGTGTTAGGAATAGATAATGCAAAATTTTTCTAGGTAAAGATGAAAGATAATATGTCCAAATTCATCTAGATAAAGATAATAGATAAAAAAAATTAAAATATCTAGATAAAGATAAAATATAATTTCATTTTTATCTAGATAAAAAAAGATATTTTCAAAAAATGTTATTTTTTGGTCAAAATTCATATTCCAATAATATCGATGAAGACTCAATTATAATCAGGGGCGTATTTAGGAATGTCTTATGGGGGGGGAGGCACAAACAAAAAGTTCAAAGTATAGATAGTTATAACTTTTCGATCTCAAAGAACTGTCGTTATTCATAACCAAAATAATCAAAATACAAATGTTTGATAGAAACATAAACTTTTATTACACAAATTTACAATAAAACATATTTTTAAATATAATTTTTATAATTACAATAATTAAAGACATCTGGGGTGTTTATTAGCATATGCATTAACTACTTCTTCTGGTTTTATAATTATTTCAGGATGTATATTAAGGTGTATTCAACGTGTATACAATGCTAATCCGTTTAATCAATGGTATCATATTATCATGATATATTGATATTCCAGTATTTCATCGTGTGCCCGTGCGTGAAAAATAAGAGGGTCTACAATAATAAATAATGTATAAAATACGATAATAATGGGCCCATAGGCCCACCCCTTAAATATGTCCAGATTATAATCATTATTATCAATAGGTAGATATCTAGGTGTTTAATGTTTATTGCAGTAATGTAGTGTACCATTAAGCAGTATTTATAAATATTGTACAATATTTAATGACAGTTAATCACTAAAATGTTAACAAAAAAAAAATGAAAATTGCTTTGTACGTATCAGGATGAATACAGAATACATAAAAAAATATTTTAAGTTAACAATATTGTTTTCCATATAATATTAATTTGAAAATTTTCATTATTTTATAAGTAGTTACGACTTTATGGGTTCCAAGAATGAAATAATAACTATTCAGCGTAAGAGTTATGTATGTATACTAAAAATAAAAAATACCAGGTGGGCCAGGCTGAGGCCAAAATTTTTTAGGGAGGCCCAAATTGTTGACTTGATATATGTTTACATGAATATATATTTTGTTAGAAAATAAATACTATTAATACATGTTTACAAATCATTGTTTTAGTAAGTTTACACGAAGAAGTGTGAAAAAAATTGAAAAATTGAAAGTTGACCCTCCCCCTCCCCCTCTGCACAATTTCCTGTCATCACTATTGTTTTATATATATATATATATATATATTTCAAATTTTCAATTTTTTTCACACTTCTTCGTGTAAACTTACTAAAAAAATGATTTATAAACATGTATTAATAGTATTTATTTCCTAACAAAATATATATTCATGTAAACACTTTTTAATTTTTATACTCCCTAACCCAAAATTACGCTCAATACCAATTATACCATCAGGCATCAATTGTAGTACAATTGAGTTTCTGTAACTATAAAAACATAACTACAAGTATTTTAAACTGACAATAAACATTATATTATGTTATAATACTAATTCAAATAAACAATTCAACAAACATATCTTATTATGTAAAAAAAAAAAAAAAACAATATAAATATAATATTTTAAGATAAAATAAAAAACGACTGTGTTTAAAGATTAAATTGAACAATTAAAAACTTTTAATATTAATTATTTGTTTACTTAATAAAAATTAATTGGAAATAATAAGAACGATAAGATAATAATATATAAGTACCTGTATAACACATGTAGGTAAGTTA